GTTTAGGTATAAGCTAGGTAAGCTATACAGCTTAGGGCCTCACAGGTCGAGGGCCACTCCGAGCTGAAATTTGTAAAATTAAATAAGTAAATAATGGTAAACAGAAAAATAACATAAATTAATAAATAATGCTATACCCTGTACATGTACTGTAGACATAGATTGAGGTGTGTGTGTGTGTGTGTGTGTGTGTATGTGTGTGTGTGTGTGTGTGTGTGTGTGTGTGTGTGTGTGTGTGTGTCTGTGTGTGTGTGTGGGTGTGTATGTATGTATGTATGTGTGTGTGTGTGTGTGTGTGTGTGTATGTGTGTGTGTGTGTGTGTGTGTGTGTGTGTGTGTGTGTGTGTGTGTGTGTGTGTGTGTGTGTGTGTGTGTTTGTGTGTGTGTGTGTGTGGGTGTGTGTGATAGACTGCCAAAGCAGCTACTTTACAGTCACCGAACGAATAGTAAACGTAACCCTGGTGGGCAACTGAAGACTGAAGAGGTATAAGGATAGTCTTAAGACAAACCTGAGAAAGTGCCAAATCGGCCCCCTCACCTGGGAGACGATTACTCCACACAGTAACGCTTGGAGGAGCACCACATGAGAAGGTGTCAATACTTTCGAGTTAGTCCGACTGCACACCGAGGTAGACAAGCGCCAGCGCTGGAAAGACGCTGCCGCCGCCCCTCCCGCACTAGATGTAGCCCCCCACGTGTAACATTTGTGAACAACCCTGCCGGTCCCGTATCGGGCTCTTTAGTCACCTCAAAGCTCACGAACCTAGGTGACATCCTTAATAACTCATATCATTGTATCAGTGCTGGATGATCGTCATACTCGATTCCGAGTGACAGCAAAGTAGTGGTGTGTGACGATCTACTCACTCCTTTTTCTTTCTGGTGAATACTGAAAAGTATCTATAATAACTCCTAAAACTTCAAATTTCGTGGGTCAATTCTGCCTTTTGTTGTGGTTGAATGTGGGTGCGCCAAGTCCGTAGACTAGTGATAGGACGACCCAGCTAATTATCCCATTAATTCCAACGATGATGAAGATGAGATGGAGAGAAGAGAGCCGTTTGCTCTGAAGATGGAAGACGGTGTAGGAGGAAGGTAAAGTTAGGACGTGGGATATAAAGTGGGAAGCATAGTACATGTTCTTTTATCGGTTCTGCTGACGCGCAGGGTTCTCGGCCGAAAAATCTGGCAGCCCCGTTGACGCACCATGTCACTTCACTGTCAGCTGATCACGCCACACCGACAGAGTTGACTGCAGGTGAAGAAATGTGTTTTATTTTTAGTGTTTTTGCAATTATTTTTTTGCCAGATAATTTAATTAACTGATATTAGATATCGCTGGACAGTTGGTATAAGGTAAATGTAAGACAACTCCGCCGATTAACGAAGTTTAAAGGATGAAGAATGTTGTCTAGTATGGTCAATGTGTTGGGTGTAGCTTCTCATCAACTTTATCTTTGGAAAATATTTCAAGAAATGTATTTTTAAGTGGTAGTGGCCTGGTGGGCCTGGGGGTCTCCCAGGATGATTGTTTAGGGCCTCAACATGGCATAATCAGGCCCTGGCTGACAGATCGTGCTCTTCTCACCCCTGCACACTACATTACTCAAGAAATTTTGTACAGTGTAGTGTACTGTATAATATTTAATGGGCATAAAATTACCAATGTTTGTTTACTTTCGGTGAATCTGAACTTCCTGAAGTACAGATACTGTAATATTTTCTACAGTAATTTGTCGTTCATAAAATGAGCCAAACTAACATGCCTAAAGTTAACTTCACCTAAGCGTTATAATGTGTTTTTTTTTCAGATAATCGTCCTCCCCAGCATTCGAAGATTACAGTACATGGCAACTGCTGCTCTGCAAGAACAAGCAAATTATTCTGTCCACTACAAACAGTGAGGTAATGCAACATTTATCGTGTCTTCCATATCCTGTATATAATAAGTGCAAAGTCAGGTTGGCATTCCAGGAGACTATTGTGAATTTTATAAAGAAGCAGTACTGTATCTGGTACTTCAGAAAGACCCTGTCTCGCATGTCAACAATGACGCTTGTGATGTCATTATGTCCATTAAATACAGGACTAACTCTTCCTTTACAAAATAGAACATAACTGTGATGTAGTATTTTAGATTTTTGGTTCTAATCACTCTGGGTACTTAGGTTCACCTTAGGTACCCAGAGTGACTAGAATACTGCTACCTAATATAGTATGTACTTAACCTAACCTAGGAGAGGTTGGTTCATTTTATAGGTGATAAATTATATAATGTAGCAGTAACTGGTAAGTTTTGGGAAGCTTTCCTGTTGATGATATGAAAAGCTCGGCATTAAAACATTGAATATGGCGTTGTAGCGTGTCAACGTTGATTATAGTTACGGAAGAAAAAATCATAACAATAATACTGTATTATTTAAATTACAAAATATTATCACTGAGCTAAGAAAACATATATCTTCTACAGTGCAGTGCAGTACAATACAGTGCAGTGCAGTACAGTACAGTGCAGTAAAGTACAGTGCAGTGCGGTACAGTACAGTGCAGTACAGTGCAGTGCAGTACAGTGCAGTGCAGTACAGTACAGTGCAGTGCAGTGCAGTACAGTACAGTGCAGTGCAGTGCAGTACAGTACAGTGTAGTACAGTACAGTGCAGTGCAGTACAGTGTAGTACAGTGCAGTACGGTGCAGTGCAGTGTGCAGTGCAGTGCAAAGCAAGGGAGTGTAGCAGTGCAGTACAGGCACAGTATTAGCACAGTACAGTGCAGTGCAGTACAGTACAGTACAGTGCAGGTACAGTGCAGTGCAGTGCAGTACAGTGCAGTACAGTTGCAGTGCAGTACAGTGCAGTACAGTGCAGTACAGTACAGTGCAGTACAGTACAGTACAGTGAGCACAGTGCAGTGCAGTACAGTACAGTACAGTGCAGTGCAGCAGTGCAGTACAGTGCAGTGCAGTGCAGTAGTGCAGAGTGCAGTAGCAGTGCAGTCAGTGCAGTGCAGTACAGTACAGTGCAGTACAGTGCAGTACAGTACAGTGCAGTACAGTACAGTACAATACAGTGCAATACAGTGCAGTGCAGTGTAGCAATAGTGCAGTACAGTGCAGTGCAGTGCAGTACAGTGCAGTACAGTACAGTGCAATACAGTGCAGTACAGTACAATACAGTGCAGTACAGTACAAGCAAGAAAAGTCTCGATTTTTTCTTGCTGGCAGAAAATAATTCAGGCAATAGTAATCATTGAAAACCCTTATGCTACCCTAACCCGATGCGGTCAATTTTCACTAATGCATCGGTCTTTGTTTGGAGATTAAAATATGTTTTTCCGATGTTATTTGATGAGTTTTGAATGAATTTGATATTCATTTCAGCCGGAAATCATGCATTTTTTAGACCCCCCCCCCCTCCACCCTACCCACCAATCTTAACGAATTTTTTTCTCGAGTAAATCACATAAATAAAAAACAAAACAAAACAAACCTAACCTAACCTAACCTAACACCATTTTTCTGGTGAAACTCTGCAATTGACGTAAAATAATCTCCATCAAATGTCGGCACAGCTCTTTCCACCTGTTCAGCTACTGTATATCCAGTGCCGGATTTAGACCTGTGGAGGCCCCCCTCATTATAACTACCCAAGAGGGTGGGGTGGTGAGTGAAGCGAGCCTAAACATCTGGGAGTTCCGGGGGGCGCTGTAAGCCCCCCGGGAAATTTTTGAAATTTGAACACTTCTTTGGAGAATTTTGAAGCCATATGTGAACAAATTCCGAACACACACACACACACTTGTGTGTGTGTGTGTGTTGGGAATTTGTACACATGAATTTGAAAGAATGAAAATAAAAATAATCCAAATGAATAAACAAATAAATAAAATATTGTAATATGTGGAGGCCCCCAGATTGTGGAGGCCCCTGGGCAGCTGCCCACTTTGCCCACTCCTGAATCCGGCCCTGGTATATCTGGTTATTCTGGTACTGAAAAATAAAATCTCCGCTCCCGACGCACCCACGCATTGTTCATTGGCTAAGAAAAAAAACTTTTGCCCAATTATAAGTCTCCCATCGCTGTAGCCAATAACTCCCCCGCACATGCAATGTACTGTAGACGCTTAAGAAGCCAACACGGAGGTAAGGAGCACTGCGTGATGGATGGCCAGACCTAGATGAGATGTAAACAACAAATGGCGGCACTTGTGACTGATCAAATCTAATAATATTGAAAAATTAATATCTCGGTTATCCTTAATTTCCGGCGGAAATATCACAGAAGAAAAAGGTCTTAGAATTGTCTAAACATTGCGAAAAAATACACACACACACACACACACATATATATATATATATATATATATATATATATATATATATATATATATATATATATATATATATATATATATAATATATATATATATATATATATATATATATATATATATATATATATATATATATATATATATATATATATATATATATATATACATTTATATATATATATGTATGTATATATATATATATATATATATATATATATATATATATATATATATATATATATATGTATATATATATATATATATATATATATATATATATATATATATATATATATATATATATATATATATATATATATATATATATATATATATATATATATATATATATATATATATATATATGTATACATACAGTATATCGGTGGCCCTGAATATGTTTGCATTTACAGGGTATCCCAAGGACATAACCCTCGTGTACTCTGAGATCTTACTGTACTGAACATAAAAAGTATCACTGACCCAACAAGTCCAAATTAAACATAAGTATGTGAGTTTAAAATTAAATAATGTACAGCACAGTGGTGTACATAACCAATTTAATACCTGTACTCGCCTTCCAAGGAGCTGATGCGTACTCAATGTATAGATTTCATCAGGGGCTGGAGATGCTGTGAAGGATTTGTGTGTTGGGGAGAGGAGGGAAGGGCATGGCTGTGAGGTGGTATGGCACCTGGTGATCGGGTTTGGTAAAACAGGACAAAACAGCCACTGTATACAACTGACTTCCAGTAACGTACCTGTACTTGTTTTGTAGCAGCTAAGTGAAGGAATAGTTTCAATTCTGTTCAAAGTTTTACAGGTACAATCCAGGGGGATCCCCAGTCAACCAAGCTGTAAATGAGTACCACAGTTTATAGCTGTGGAAGTAAAGGCAGGCAAGTATAGCACCAGCCACACTGCCTCCATGTCACTGAGAGCTTGGCCTACGGTGTGCTGTATCCACACTATCCCTAACTGGGGATCTAGGTTATTACTTGCACCTTTTAAATATTTTTGCACACATTACCTTATGTACATTTTTAATGTACCTTTTCCTTACTTTTTTTAGGAGAAGCCTCCAGAACCACAAATGAATCCTGAACAACAAATGAATCCTCATGATCATCCTGAGGAACTCATTGAACCCAATAAGGAACATGTTGAACCCAAGAAGGAACACGTTGAACCCGAAAAGGAGCATGTTGAGCCCAACAAGGAACATGTTGAACCCCATAAGGAGCATGTTAAACCCAACAAGGAGCATGTTGAACCCCATAAGGAGTATGATGAACCCCATAAGGAGCATGTTGAACCCGATAAGGAACCTCCAAAGAAACATATAAAACCCAATAATGAACACGTTGAACCTAATGAAGAACATGTTGAACACAATAACGAACACGTTGGACACAATAAAGAACATATTAAACCTAATAAGGAACATGTTGAACACAATAAGGAACACGATGAACCCAAGAAGAAATGTGTTGAACCCAATAAGGAACATATTAAACCTAATAAGGAACATGTTGAACACAATAAGGAACGCGATGAACCCAAGAAGAAATGTGTTGAACCCAATAAGGAACATATTAAACCTAATAAGGAACATGTTGAACACAATAAGGAACGCGATGAACCCAAGAAGAAATGTGTTGAACCCAATAAGGAACATATTAAACCTAATAAGGAACATGTTGAACACAATAAGGAACACGATGAACCCAAGAAGAAATTGTTGAACCCAATAAGGAACATATTAAACCTAATAAGGAACATGTTGAACACAATAAGAAACATGGTAAACACAATAAGAAACATGGTAAACACAAGAAACACATTAAACATAATAAGGAACATGGTGAATACAATAAGGAACATGTTGAACCTAATAAGGAACATGTTGAACCCAATAAGGAACATCTAGAACCCAACAAGAAACATGAACACAATAAGAAACATGGTAAACACAAGAAACACATTAAACACAATAAAGAACATGTTGAACCCAATAAGGAACATGTTGAATACAAGAAACATGTTGAACACAATAAGAAACATGGTGAACACAATAAGAAACATGATGAACCCAATAAGAAACATGTTGAACACACTAAGAAACATTGTGAAAACAAAAAGAAACATGGTGAACACAATAAGAAACATGGTGAACACAATAAAGAACATGTTGAACCCAATAAGGAACATGTTGAATACAAGAAACATGTTGAACACAATAAGAAACATGGTGAACACAATAAGAAACATGATGAACCCAATAAGAAACATGTTGAACACACTAAGAAACATTGTGAAAACAAAAAGAAACATGGTGAACACAATAAGAAACATGGTGAACACAATAAAGAACATGTTGAACCCAATAAGGAACATGTTGAATACAAGAAACATGTTGAACACAATAAGAAACATGGTGAACACAATAAGAAAAAATTGTGAACACAATAAGAAACATGAACAACAATAATAAGCATGTTGAACCTAATAAGGAACTTGTTGAACACAATAAGGAACATGTTGAACACAATAAGGAACATGTTGAACACAAGGAAATGTTGAACCTAACAAGGAAATATCAGAATACAATAAACATGTTGAACACAAGAAATATGGAACCTAATAAGGAACATTTAGGACACAATAAGGAACATCTTAAACCTAATAAGGACATGTACCCAAGGAACATGTTGAACACAATAAGAACATGTAGAACCCAATAAGGAACAACTTAAACCAATAAGGAACATGTTGAACCCAATAAGGAACATCTTAAACCTAACAAGGAACATGTACCCAATAAGAATATGTTGAAAACAATAAGGAACAACTAGAACACAATAATGAAATATCTAGAACACAATAAGAAACATGTTGAAAACGATAAGGATCATGTTGAACCTAACAAGGAAACATGTTGAACACAATAAGGAACATGTTGAACACAATAAGGAACATCTAGAACCCAGTAAGAAACATGTTGAAGCCAACAAGGAGCTTGTTGAACACAGTAAGAAACATGCTGAACACATTAAGAAACATGGTGAACACAATAAGGAACATGTTGAATGCAAGAAACATGTTGAATCGAATAAGGAAACATGTTGAACACAAGAAACATGGTGAACACAATAAGGAAGATCTAGAACACAACAAAGAACATGTTAATACAAGGAGCATGTTAAACACAAGAAACATGTTGCACCGAATAAGGAACATGTTAAGCCCAATAAGGAAACATTTGAACACAATAAGGAACATGTTGAACACAATAAGGAACTTGTTGAACACAATAAGAAACATTTTGAACACAATAAGGAACATGTTGAACCCAATAAGGAACATGTCGAACACAATAAGAAACATTTTGAACCCAATAAGGAAACATCTTGAACACCATAAGGAACATGTTGAGCACAGTAAGAAACATGTTGAACACATTAAGGAACATCTAGAACGCAAGGAACATGTTGAACACAATAAGGAACATCTAGAACACAAGGAACATGTTGAACACAATAAGGAACATGTTGAACACAGTAAGGAACATGTTCAACACAATAAGGAAACATGTTGAACACAATAAGGAACATGTTGAACACAATAAGGAACATCTAGAACACCAGGAACATGTTGAACACAATAAGGAACATGTTGAACACAATAAGGAACATGTTGAACACAATAAGGAACACGTTGATCACAATAAGAAGCATGTTGAATCCAATAAGAAGCATGTTGAACTCAATAAGGAACATGTTGAACACAATAAGGAACATCTAGAACACCAGGAACATGTTGAACACAATAAGGAACATGTTGAACACAATAAGGAACATGTTGAACACAAGGAAACATGTTGAACTCAATAAGGAACATGTTGAACACAATAAGGAACATGTTGAACACAATATGAAGCATGGTGAAGCCAAAATGGGACATGTTGAACACAATAAGGAACATGTTGAACCCAATAAGGAACATGTTGAATACAATAAGAAGCATGTTGAACACAATAAGAAGCATGTTGAACCCAATAAGGAACATGTTGAACACAATAAGGAAGATGTTGAACACAATAAGGAACTTGAACACAATAAGAAACATGTTGAACACAATAAGGGACATGTTGAACAAAGACATGTTGAGCCAATATGGAACTTATTGAACACAATAAGAAACATTTTGAACCCGATAAGGAACATGTTGAACACAATAAGAAACATGTTGAACACAATAAGAAACATGTTGAACAAAATAAAGAACATCTACAACCCAATAAGGAACATCTAGAACACAATAAGGAACATGTTGAACCCAAGAAAGATCATGTAGAACACAGTAAGGAGCATGTTGAACACAATAAGAAGCATGGTGAAGCAAGAAGGAACATCTAGAACCCAGAAAGAAACATGTTGAACCCAATAAGGAACATGTTGAACCAAGAAGAAACATATTGAACACAAAAGAAACTGTTGAACCCAATAAAGCATGTTGAACACAATAAGAAACATGTTGAACACATAAGAAACATGTTGAACACAAAAGAAACAGAACCAAAAACATGTTAACACAAAAACGTTGAAAAAATAGAACAACAAGAAACATGTTGAACACAATAAGGACATGTTGGAAACCCAATAAGGAATATGTTGAACACAATAAGAAACATTTTGAACCCAATAAGGAAATATGTTGAACACAATAAAAACATGTTGAACACAATAAGAAACATGTTGAAAAAAATAAAGAACATCCAGAAACCAATAAGGAAACATCTAGAGCACGATAAGGAAATATTGAACACAATAAGAAACATGTTGATCCAATAAGGAACATGTTGAACCCAATAAGGAACATCTAGAGCACGATAAGGAACATGTTGAACACACAAGAAACATGGTGATCACAATAAGGAACATGTTCAGCACAGTAAGAAACATGGTGAACCTAATAAGAAACATGTTCAACACAATAAGGAACATCTAGAACACAAGGACATGATGAACACAATAGGAACATGTTGAACACAATAAGGAACATGTTGAACACAATAAGGACCATGTTGATCACAATAAAAAGCATGTTGAACACAATAAGGAACATGTTGAATCCAATAAAGAACATGTTGAACCCAAGAAAGAACATGTTGAACACAATAAGAAACATGTTGAACCGAATAAGGAACATGTTGAACACAATAAGGAACATGTTGAACACAATAAGGAACATGTTGAACAGAATAAGGAACATGTTGAACACAATAAGGAACATGTTGAACACAAGGCATGTTAAACTAAAAGGAACATGTTGAACCACAATAAGGAACATGTTGACCAAGAAAGAACATGTTGAACACAATAAGAAACATGTTGAACCCACAAGAACATGTGAACACAATAAGAAACATGTTGGAACCAATAAAGAAAATGTTAACAATAGAAACATGACAAAAAGAAATTGCACAAAGGAGACAAAGACATGAAAAAAGAACATGTTAAACAATAAACATGTTGACAATAAGAAACATAGCCAAAGAAATGTTAAACAAAAGATACAAAAGAAATGTTGAACCAAGAAAGAACAATAAGAATACAATAAGAAACATGTTGCACCCAATAAAGAACATGTTGAACACAATAAGAAACATGTTGAACCCAAGAAAGGACATGTTGAACACAATAAAGAACTTGTTGAACACAATAAGAAACTTGTTGCACCCAATAAAGAACATGTTGAACACAATAAGAAACATGTTGAACCCAAGAGAGGACATGTTGAACACAATATGAAACATGTTGAACCCAAGAAAGAACATGTTGAACACAATAAGAAACATGTTGAACCCAATAAAGGACATGTTGAACACAATAAGAAACATGTTGAACCCAATAAAGAACATGTTGAACACAATATGAAACATGTTGAACCCAAGAAAGAACATGTTGAACACAATAAGAAACATGTGAATCCAAGAAAGAACATGTTGAACACAATAAGAAACATGTTGAACCCAAGAAAAACATGTTGAATACAATAAGAAACATGTTGAACCCAATAAAGAACATGTTGAACACACAAGAAACATGTTGGAACCCAAAAGAACATGTTGAACACAATAAGAAACATGTTGAACCCAAGAAAGAACATGTTGAAACAATAAGAAACATGTTGAACCCAAAAAGAACATGTTAAAACATAAGGAAACAATAAGAACATGTTGAACCCAAGAAAAACATGTTGAACACAATAAAGAAACAAGTTGAACCCAAAAAGAACATGTTGAACCAATAAAGAACAGTTAAGACAATAAGAAACATGTGAACCCAATAAAAACATAGTGAACCCAATAAAGAACATGTTGAACAATAAGAAATATGTTGAACAAAAGAAACATGTTAACCTAATAAAGAAATATGTTGAAGACATAAGAAATATAGGAAACCCAATAAAGAACATGTTGAACACAATAAGGAACATGTTAACACAAGGAAAATGTTGAACGCAACAAGGAACATCTAGAAACAATAGTATGTTGAACCAATATGAACATTTAGAACACAATAAGGAACATCTAGACACAATAAGGAACATGTTGAACCCAATAAGAAACATGATGAACACACAAAGCATGTTGAACCTAATAGAACATATTGAATAAAAGAACATGTTGAACACAATAAGGAACATAACACAAGGAAAATGTTGAACAACAAGGAACATCTAGAATACAATAAGAAACATGTTGAACACATTAAGGAACATGTTGAACCCAATAAGGAACATTTAGAACACAATAAGGAACATCTTAAACCTAATAAGGACTTGTACCAATATGGAAATATTGAACACAATAAAGAATATGTTGAACCCAATAAGGAATATCTAACCTAATAAGGAACATAAAACAATAAGGAACATGTTGAACACAAAAGGAACATGTTGAACACAAGGAAGCATAGTTGAACACAATAAGAAACATACGGAACACAATAAGGAACATGTAGAACAAAAAAGAGCATGTTGAACATCTAAGAAGCATGTGAACAAATGACATGTTGAACACAATAAGCATGTTGAACCCAATAAGAACATGTTGAACACACAAGAAGCATGTTGAACACAATAAGAAGCATGTTGAACCCAATATGAAACATGTTGAACACAATAAGGAATAAGACACAATAAGGAACTTAAACACAATAAGAACATGTTGAACCCAATAAGGAACATGTTGAACACAATAAGAAACATTTTGAACCCAATAAGGAACATGTTGAACACAATAAAAAACATGTTGAACACAATAAGAAACATGTTGAACAAAATAAAGAACATCCAGAAACCAATAAGGAACATCTAGAGCACGATAAGGAACATGTTGAACACAATAAGAAACATGTTGATCACAATAAGGAACATGTTGAACCCAATAAGGAAACATCTAGAGCACGATAAGGAACATGTTGAACAATAAGAAACATGGTGATCACAATAAGGAACATGTTCAGCACAGTAAGAAACATGGTGAACCTAATAAGAAACATGTTCAACACAATAAGGAACATCTAGAACACAAGGGACATGATGAACACAATATGGAACATGTTGAACACAATAAGGAACATAAAGGAACACAATAAGGACCATGTTGACTCACAAAAAGCATGTTGAAACACAATAAGGAACATGTTGAATCCAATAAAGAAACATGTTGAACCCAAGAAAGAACATGTTGAAACAATAAGAAACATGTTGAACTGAATAAGGAACATGTTGAACACAATAAGGAACATGTTGAACACAATAAGGAACATGTTGAACAGAATAGAAATACAATTGAATAAGGAACATGTTGAACACAATAAGAAGCATGTTGAACCCAATAAGGAACATGTTGAATAAACAATAAGGAACATGTTAACCCAAGAAAGAAACATGTTGAACACATAAGAAACATGTTGAACCCAATAAAGAAATACAAGGAATAATAACAAGAAGAAACATGTTGAACCAATAAAGAACATGTTGAACACAATATGAAACATGTTGAACCCAAGAAAGAACATGTTGAACACAATACGAAGCATGTTGAACCCAATAAAGAACATGTTGAACCCAATAAAGAACATGTTGAACACAATAAGAAACATGTTGAACACAATAAGAAACATGTTGAACCCAAGAAAGAACATGTTGAACACAATAAGGAACAAGAAGGAATGCTAATAAAGAAACATGTTGAACCCAAGAAAGAAACATGTTGAACACAATAAGAAACATGTTGCACCCAATAAAGAACATGTTGAACACAATAAGAAACATAGTTGAACCCAAGAAAGGACATGTTGAACACAATAAAGAACATGTTGAACACAATAAGAAACTTGTTGCACCTAATAAAGAACATGCTGAACACATAAGAAACATGTGGAACCCAAGAGAGGACATGTTGAACACAATATGAAACATGTTGAACCCAAGAAAGAAATATGTTGAACACAATAAGAAACATGTTGAACCCAATA